TCATACACTCACTAGCTGTGTGACCCAGGGCAGATCTGTTTGCCTTAACCCACTGGAGGAGGATATGGAAAACCACTCCAGTATCTTTGCCAAGAAATCCCCAAATACAGCCACGAAGAATCAGACACAACTGAAAAACAACTGAACAGGAGTTCCTCACAACAAACCTATAAAGTACATAGTTTGGGTATTGTTAGCTCATTTTACCAATGAGGTAAAGAAGTCTTATCCAGGGTCACACGGTTAGTTAATAGCAGATCTGGGACTCAAACTCAGGTCTTCTTACTGCAACACCAATACTCTTTTCACTCTACCACATTGCCTCTAAATCCATATAACACATCACAATATAATCTTCCCAAAACACCAGTTGATAAGCCAATTCTCCATTCAAAAACCTTTAATGACTTCCTATGGCCCAGCAGAGGCTCCCAAACTTATTTCACCTACCTCCTCCTTTAAAAAATTACTCAGCATCCCCCTGGAAATTTATTTTCTTTAAGCTTTTAATGGGCTTTTTTTTTTAAATTTGCATCATTTCAAAAAACATATGATTTTTTAAATGACACATCTTAAATTTAATAATTTATTGTAAGTTTGTGGAGTTTTTCCTGCATTGAAATTTTGATGATGCAATATTGTACCATGTAACTGTATAGTATTATATTGTAAGCAAGTCATTACATGCACATACTCCTACTAATCTTCCCCCCAATGCGCGACAAGCTTGCCTGCCAACACTTACTTGATAAGACCTGTTGGCAGACTTGACCATTGATCAGTTATAACTTGCATTTTGTGTGTTTATTTGGGAAACAATGTAATCACTACAATTTTAACTCTGCTACACAACAGGTAAAACACGTATGAATGGTTTTTCAAAATTTTCTTTTCTTCTTTCCTTATGCTTCCATTTTCCCCTTTTTATTCAAGGCCCCCCCAGTTGTACCCAAGGCTACTACTCCCCCCCCATCATTCCAGCACCCACCCAGGGGGTGGTATTGCCCACTTTGGGAACCTATCCAAAGCAAGGGCTTTTAATGTAGGATCAAACTCAGAGGGTCCATGAATTTAGATGGAGAAAAATAAAATACATCTTTATTTTAATAACCTCTAACTATAATTTAGCATTTCCTTTAATTATTTAAAGATATTATTTTGAATCCATAGGTTTCACCAGACTTATTAAAGGGGTCTATTACACAAAAAGTTCTCCCTGGCCTAAGGGACAAAGTAAAATGTCTTACTGGTATTCACATTTAGCCCCACCTTATCTTTGCAATCTTATCTCCCACTTCTCACTTTCCAAAACACCTTCTTTGTTTTGTTCAAACCAGTTTACCCCTGCCTTTGCATCCTCACTTCTGGGTTTTTCTTCATACTTTCACCTCATTTTCCACTTTCTTGCTTTGTATCTACTTGAATCCAAATCCTTCAGGGTTCATGCCATTAAGCTTTCCCTGACTAGGGAAAGCCCCAAGCCCTCCACACTCTTAAGGCATTTATTATCTGTACCAATTATCTGACAGTCATTCAGGTGCCAATTGCCTTGTGCCACTGAACAAGCTAGACAGTGTATAGAAAGATACAGGGCCAGATTTGGAGTCGAGAAGACCTGAGTTTGAATCCTGCCTCAGACATTAGTGTGATCCTGGCCAAGTCACTTAACCCTGTCTGTCTCAGTTGCCTCATCTGTAAAATGAGCTGGAGAAGGAAATGTCAAACCACTTCAGTATCTTTGCCAAGAAAATCCCAAATGTTTGGCTCATGAGGCATCAAACACGAAAAATAACTGAACAACAGCAACATTTTTTTTAATTATGCATTATTTGCCACCACTCTCCTCGAAAACTGTTTTGACAATTCACTATCCCCTACCCTATGCATTCCTATTCCTATGCCTCTCCTAATGCAGATTCCTATGTTTTGTATGCTCTTCAGATCCCTCAGAGGTGTGCTGGTAAATGTTTAATAAATGGTTCACATGTGTATGTATATAAACATGTAAATACATATATAATGTGTAACAAATACATACATATTGTATGTAGAGACATATATAGATACACACACATGCACACATGGCATACTTTTAAGTTTAATCTCATTATTAACATTTTCTTCATCTTCTCAAGTCTAGATAACCAACAAAACAATAAATCAAGCCTCGATTTATAGTGTTTGCAGATTTCTGAGGCATAAATTTAACAACTGGCTCTCCTGAGTCAGTAAAAGTTAGCTCTGGCACATCATCTAAATCTTAGCATCAGGGACAAGCTCAAATATTCCCAAGTCTAGTAGGGCTTTTCCAACCACTCCAGCCTAGAGCTGCATCCTGCACTTCCATAGCACTCAATGTCTACAGCTACCATTCATTGACAGTATTGTGAGTTATCTCATGAACACAGATCACCTCCCTCTAATTACATTGTGAGCTCCTTGAGGGACAGTGTCCTGCATTTCCTTTAATATGACACAATGTTTTCTTTGCACATAATAGGCAGTCAATAAATATTTGCTAGTTGATTGTGCCAAAATGCTCTCCCATTGAGCATTTCCCTGGGGACAGGATGGGATAAAAGAATAAATTCATTAGGAAGAAATGAGGGAAGGAAACTCTAACCAGGTAGGGAAATAAAAATGAGCCCTGTGGCCTTCTTATAAATGGAAGGGACCTCAGAGATGATCTAATTCAACAGGCTCATTTTATAGGTTCAGAGAGAGATAGAAAATTTGCGCAAAGTCACACAACTACTAAGTGACAGATCCAGGAAGATGGTTGGTCAGCAGCCATATTTCAGACAAATATCATAGTTTAAGAAGTCCTGTTCTGGATGGCACAGACAGATATTAAATTCAAACCTAGAGAAGCAAAGGGATGTCTCTTCTTGTTGAATCATTTCAGTCATGTCTGACGCTCCATGATTTATTTGGGGTTTTCTTGGCAAAAGATACTGGAATGATTTGCCATTTAATTCTGCAGTTCATTTTACAGACGAAGAAACTGAGGCAAACAGGGTTAAGTGACTTGCCCAGAGTCATACAGCTGTGTGCCTGGGACCAGATTTGAAATCATGAAGATGAATCTTTCTGATTCTAAGACCGGTGCAGTATCTACTGGACTACCTTTTAGTTTGGGAGGTCTCTAGCCATTGCATTAGCCATGGAGCTGAGAGTAGAAACTGAGGGTCTTAGCATGATGTTTTTTCTGCTTTCACCTTTCATGTCATGATAGTTTATCAGCCCTGCCAAGAAACTCTGAATACATGACATATGGTATAATGAATTTGGAATTTGAAGGCCTGGGCTCAAATCCCAGGTCTACTATTCTTACTACCTTGAGCCATCTTCAGCAAGTCATAACCATTCTGGGCTTCAAGTCCAAGGGTGTGCTGGAGTCAGCTTATATAGGCTCTCAAAAGCCCAACTGTTCAATTTTCAGTGTGAACATTTACACCTTAGAAATAAGCAAAGGCTACAAAATCAGGGCTTGACTTACTGTTTTGTTGATTGTCTAAATTTAAGAAAGTGATAAAGAATATAATAATGCAGATAAAACTTAAAACTGTCAGTGCTTACATTTTTTGTTTTATTCTGAAGTCACCTCTATAATTAAGTCCCTCACCTATAAAATGAAGAAAATAAATAGAAAACTGAATTGGACTGTATCGGCAGTTCTTAAAAAGTGTGATCTGGGGCAAGTAGGTGGCACAGTGGATAGAGAGCACATGCCCTGGAGTCAGGAGAACCTGAGTTCAAATCCAGCCTCAGATACTTTATTAGCTGTGTGACCCTGGGCAAGTCACTTAATCCCATTTGCATCACCCCCCCCCAAAAAAAAGGCTTGGTCCAAGAACCCTCTGGGATTCTCTGAGACCCATTTCAAAGGGTCAGTAAAATCAAAACTAATTTCATGATAGTAGTAAGATATTACGTACTCTTTTCTTTTCATTCTCTCATGAGTATGCGGCAGAGTTTTGTAGAGGCTACATGACCTGTGAATTAAAGATATAGCTACAAGAAGATTGAGTTAACATCTCATCTATAACAACTGTACTTTTGCCTTACAAATGAATGAATCTACAGACATGGCTAGATTTGCCTGTATTGGTCTGTTATCAGCACCATTAATCATCAAACAGCTTTGACATGAATGCTTGGCTACAAACACAAGTGTTGCTAAAATACTCAGTGTGGAATAACTTTCTAATCATATGGTTGATCCCTTAACAACTGGGTTGACTTTTGTACCGATGGTATAAAAACAATTTTAAATGTACATTTACGAAAATATAAAACAATGCCACTCTTCTCACCACTTTTTTTGGTCTTGGAAAATACAGTTATTTTTTAATAAAAATATGTTATTTGTTTTAATGTGTAGTGGGCTTACTATCATTATTTTTAGATGAATTTATGAATTAATTTAATAAATACTTAAAATGCATCAGTTTTCATTTCTAATATGGTAAATATTGATAGATGAACATAAACAAAAAACTCTTTGGGGTTATCAATAGCTTTTAAAAGAGCAAAGGGTTCCCAAGACCAAAAAAAGTTTGAGAACTGCTGAGATAGATAACCTCTAAGGTCTCTTCCAGATTTAAACTATTATCCTTAAAGTAAGAGATCATAAAGAAAGCAAAATGGCCTTCTCCAGCTATGCTCTCTGACATATAAGCAAACTCACTAATTTAGCTGTGTCAGAATCTGAGAACCCTTAGCCTGTTTTAACTTTACTGTGCAATAATGGACACCCAAGAAGCAAACTACATCTCTCTTTCAAGTTTAGCAATTTAAAAAATAAGGTTCGAGTATCCCCAGCAGGGTTTCGCTAACAACTTCCTTGTCTGTAGTAATGGTGCGAGTGAGCAAAAGCAAAAAGGAGCCATCAATACCAGATGACACTTGGCTGTAGATTTCACAAATGGTGATGAGCAGAAACAAAGATGGTATGATGCATTCAAAACACCAGGGTCCTGTATCTGGGTGTTACTCACAGGCATTATTTTGTGGCTTTGTGTTCTTAATGTATGCAGAGAACTTGGAGAAGATGTCAATCCCAGCTGTGTTGGATTCTCTGTGTTTAGCAGCCAATTTGGGGTACCTGGAATGGAAGAGGATGGGACCATAAATGGTGGTTTCTGATGAAAGGAAGGAGACTTTCCTTTCATAATTATCAACATCAATGTTCAGCACTTTGGACCAGTATACTGTTTTAAAATTGTTTTTCTTTTCTCAAACTGGACTTGTAATAGATGAGCTGACAGGGCTAGCCATAGCTGAGAGATGGTGGGACAAAGAGATTTGTCCAGGGTGAAATGACAGATTGTGGTGAAATTGGTATTTGAACTCATGGTTTGTAGCCCACATAGGAGCCGACGACAGTACAATTTTTATTCCAAGGGGAAAAAAAAATTACAAAGTAGCCTATTAGAGTTATTTCTTAGAAACCTAGAATGTCAAAGCCAGAAGGGAACTGGAAAACAAAATGTAAAAACACAGCACAGAATGTCAGAGCTAGAAAAGAATTTAAAATATAGAATGATGGAGCAAAGGACACGGAAGGTCAGAACTGGATGACACTTTAGAGGCCTGATTTTGGAGAGGAGGAAACTGAGGCCCAGGGGAGAAAAGAGGCTAATTCTTGGATGATAAGCCTTTTTATCTCTCCTCCTCCAGCATTCCTCGGGGTCTATTTTCCCTATTTCCTGAGCTGAAGGCTTTGCCTCAATACTTTATTGAAGAAATTGAGGTCACTAGCCAATGCCTCCTTCTTTTCCACTTCCCCTTATCTCACATCATTCAAATGCTTTTCCCCTTCATTTCTCACATAAAGACCTATAGATCTCCTCCTTGCCAAGGCAAAAAACTCCTCTGCATGGACCCTTGGATTCTTTTCCATTCTGTCTTCTCCAACATATCATTCATTTCATCAACCCCACTCTCTCATTCATCTTCAGTGTCTCCCTATTTACTGGCTGCTTCCTTGCTTCCTACAAACATGCCCATGAGTCATTTTTTTTTCCAGTTATGTCTGACTCTTCATGACCCCACTTGGGATTTTCTTGGCAAAGATACTGAAATGTTTTGCCATTTCCTTCTCCGGCTCATTTTACAGATGAGGAAATTGAGGCAAACAGGGTTAAATGACTTGCCCAGGATCACACAGCTAGCAAGTGTCTGACACCAGATTTGAACTCAGGAAGATGAGTCTTTCTTGACTCCAAACTCTATCCACTACAGCACCACCTAGCTGTCCTCTCCTTTTAGTAACTAAACTCCTTTGGTAACTAAGCCACCTTCACTCAATGCCTCTTATTTCCTCTTCCCTCACTCTTCTAAACCCTCTTCAGGCTAGTTTCCAACCTCATCATTCGACTAAAACTACTATCTCCAAAGCTACCAGTGATCTCTTAACTGTAAAACCCAATGGCCTTTTCTCAATCCTTAACCTTACTAACCTCTCTGCAACCTTTGACATTATCAATCACCATTTTCTCCTGGATACTCTCTCCTCTCCAGGTTTTCATGGCATCATCCTCTCCTAGTTTTCTTCCTTCCTGTCTGACCACTCCTCGGTATCCTTGGCTGGGTCTTCCCCCAGGTCATGCTCACCAACCACAGGTCTCTGCCAACAGTCTGCCCTGGGACTTCTCTTCTTCTATACCATTTCAGTTGGTAATCTCATCAGCCCCCATGATTCACCTATCATCCATTACACAAGATAATTTTCAGATCTACTCATCCATCCCTAACCTCTCTTTTGACCTCCAGACTCTTATTACTGTCTGCCTCTCAGACATCATGAACTGGAGTAAAAATTTCGAACTTAACATGTTGAAAACTCATTATCTTCTCTCTCACCCTTCAAACTCTCTTCTTTTCTGAACTTCCTTGCTACCTTCAAGGATACCACCATCCTCCCATCACACAGGCCTACAACCTCATATTCATCCTTGACTCCAATCTATTGTCAGGTGTTACAATTTCTACATTCACAATCTCCCTTATACATCTCTTTGTCTTCACTTACATAGCTACCACCCTGGTGGAGATCCTCAATACCTCATACCTGGACTATTGCAATAGACTTATAGTCAACAATTCTTTCCCCTTTTATGCTATATATGTATATATGCATGCATACATACATATATACAGACACATACACACATATATATGTATATATACATATACATATATGTATATATACATCTCAAATGTACACAGTCATTTGCACAGTGTGTTCTCCTCCCTTCCATTTGATTATGAGCTCCTTGGGGGCAGGAATTGCGTTTTTTCATTTCTTTGTATCTCCAATGCTTAGCATAGTGCTTGGCACACAGTACGGCACCCTTCATGGGCAGGTAGATGACGCAATAGATAGAGTGCTGGGCCTAGAGTCAGGAAGACCCGAGTTCAAATCCAACCTCAGACACTTACTAGCTAGGTGACCCTGGGCAAGTCATTTAACCCTGTTTGCCTCAGTTTCCTCATCTATCAAATGAACGGGAGAGGGAAATGGCAAACCACTCTAGTTTCTTTGCCAAGAAAACCCCAAACGAAGTCACGAAGAGTCGGACATGCCTGAAAATGACCGAATAGCAACAATAAAAGGCACTTTATGTATAACTGTTGACTGGCTGATGAACTGAAGACTGACACAGTCTCTCACTTGATCCATACCTAAAAGCTACCCACCGTGGTACACTTTACCAAAACACTTGCTCCAGGGTCATGGTCTTTAAGAACCCAGGGTATGGGACAGCTAGGTGGTGCAGCGGATAGAACACTGGCCCTGGACTCAAGAGGACCCGAGTTCAAATCTGGCCTCAGACACATAACACTTACTAGCTGCCCTGATCAAGTCACTTAACCCCATTGCCCAGCCAAAAAAAAAAAAAAAAAGAAGAACCCAGGGTTGCCTCCCTGCAGTACTGAAGTATTAGTATAGGACTCTAATAGAATATTAGTATTACTGCTGTTGTGGTAGTTACTACATTTACTCATTTTTACATATTTGTTGAAATCACTCTCTCTATCTCCTAAACTATGCTTACACCATTTATTTCCTGAAAACAGTTCCTCAGACCCATTTCTGGGTGGGATTTAAAATCCCTACAATGAGGAAGGACCAGAACCATAAAGGAGGAAGATCTAGTCTGCTGGTCCTCAGGCACTTGGAGCAAAGTGACCAGCTGGATTCAGTAAAAGATGTTCTCAGCTCTGGGGGGCTGGACTGCTGAATGTTAGTTACCTTAAGTTCTATATGTATTGCTGCTCACTTCTCAGTTTGTCTTCTATATGTTGTAATGAATAGAGCACTGTGTTTAATTTTAGGATACCTGAATTTGAATCCCACTTAAGACACTTACTAGCTGTGTGACCTGGAGAAGTCATTTCGCCTCTGTTTGCCTCAGTTTCCTTATCTGTAAAATGGGGATAACAGCTCCTACCTCTCAAGGTTGTCTTGAGGATCAAATGAGATAATAATTGTAAAGCATGGTACTTGTCACATAGTTAAGCACAATATAAATGTTAGCTATTATTAGTATTTTCTCACTTTGCAAATTTTATTTTAACGTATCATTTGTTTTTAGCACTCTTTTCTTTTAATTTTGAATTCCAAATTATTCCTCTCCTTTGGCTCCTCCCTCACCCACTGAGAAGGTAAACAATATGAAATCAACTCTACAGGTGAAATCATGTAAATCATATTCCCATGTTAGCCATGTTGTTAAAAAAAAGCAAGGAAAATAGAGAAAGTGAAAAAATTATACTTCAATTTGTACTCAAGAGTTCATCAGTTCTCTCTCTGGAGGTAGATATCATTTTTATCATGAGTCTTTTGGAATTGTCTTGGATCATTGTATTGATCAGATTGGCCAACTCTTTGACAGTTGATCATTGTTACAGTATTGCTGTTACTGTGTACAATGATCTCTTGGTTCCACTCACTTCATTCTGCATCAATTCAAATATGTCTTCCCAAGTTTTTCTGAAATCATCCCCTTGTCATTTTTTAAAGCATAATAGTATTCCATCACAATCATATACACAACTTGATCAGTCATTCCCCAATTGATGGACATCCCTTCAGTTTTCAGTTCTTTGCTACCACAAAAATAGCTGCTATAAACATTTTTCTATATACAGATCCTTTTCATTTTCCTTTGATCTCTTTGGGACACAGACCTACTAGTGGTATTTTTGGGCCAAAGGATATGCACAGTTTTACAGCCCTTTGGGCATAATTCCAAATTATTCTTCAGAATGGTTGGACCAGATCCCAATTACACCAACAGTGCATGAGTGTCCCTATTTTTCCATATCCCCTCCAGCACTTGTCATTTTCTTTTTCTTTCATGTTAATTAGTTTGACAGGTATGAAGTGGTACCTCAGAGCAATTTTAATTTGCATTTCTCTAATCAAAATTGATTTAGATAAATTTTTTTGTGTGACTATTGATTTCTTTTGCAAACTGCCGGTTCATATCCTTTGACCATTTATCAACTGGGGTATGATTCTTATTTTTATATATTTGACTCAGTTTCCTGTATATTTGAAAAATAAGACCTTTATGAGAGAAACTCACCATAAAATTTTTTTCCCAGTGTCCTGCTTTTCTACTAATTTTGGCTTCATGGGTTTTGTTGTACAGAAACTTTTTAATTAAATGTAATCAAAATTATCCATTATATTTCTCATGATGCTCTCCAATTATTATTAGCATATATGCCACTTAGTATCTTTTCATATGTATTTGGCTTATCTTCTATTTAATTGACTAAATTGCAAACTCCTTAAAGGTAGGGATATCTTATGCACCTATGTATTCTTCAAAAGCACCTAGCACAATGATCAATAAATACTTTTTTGATTGATGCAAGCTGATATTTTAAAGTTAAAAAAAAACCTTCCTTGGAAATTAGAGTCACTAATAGTTAACCTGGCTGGTGGTTTTTCACTAACATAAGTTGTACCCAGATTAGAAAATTGTAAAATATACAAAATAACTGTGGGTGTAGGGGAGGGTGTGGAAGTCTGGAGAGAACTAACAATCATGGGAGTCAGTCAGAAAAGAATTCCTGTAGGCAGCTGAAGTGAACCTTAGAAGAAACTAAGAATTATAAGAGGTGGAGGTGAGGAGGGAGAACATTCCGGGCATGGTGGATAGCATGGACAAAGACACAGAGAACAGAAATTGAATGTTATGTATGGAGGGGAGCATTTAACAAATGTCAATTAATTGGAGACTACCCCCAGTGACCACCTGTCTCTGAAAATACATGCAGGCCAGCAGGCCCCCACAACTGGATCCCTTTCCCAAAGGTATAAGAAAAAGATAGTTCTCTCCTGAGCCTCTGATCAGAGCCCTTGACCACAGGTAAGGAACATAAAATTCATATAAAGACGTAGGCAGGACAGGAAACTCCCAGGCAGCTGTGATTTTAAGAGGTTCCCGGTGCCACATCTTAGAGTGATTTTTATGTCTACCGTAACATTTCAAATAATTCTCCTCAAATGCCAGCAGGAGGAGCATTGGATTGGTTGGCTTACTGTACTGATCTGGATCTAAAATTTCCTTTCAATACAGGACATATCCCTTAAAATGAGATTTCTCTTAAAAGATAGAAAACGAAAAAAAATAATGAAAATTCTGAACAAAATATTTATTATGAAAATTTTTAAAAGACTTTTTCATTCAAATAAAAGTCATTATATATATATATATATATATATTTATTATCAACTGCTTTCTTCATTTCCATCGTTTTCATTGTTTTCTTACTAATGACACAATTTTAGGATACACTTATATTGAGCACAAGGTAGATAACAGGGAAAAAGTGAAACTTATACTAAAACCAGTTAAGGATATCCTATAATATGGAGAAGGCAAATGGTCTGGTGGAAAGAAGATGCAATTTGAAGTTAAAGAATTTGAAATCATATCTCAACTCTATCACTTATTACCCACGTTGACCTAGAACAAGTCACTTAGCCAATGTGGGATTCAGGATTCTCATTTCTACAATGAGGAAGATGCCTGCTCTAGTCAGCCTCAACCAGTCTCTTCTGTCTCTAAATCTATGATCTTCTGATCCTTTGTATGGCACAACTTTCTAAGATGGTTGGATGCATCAAGAATGGTATCTTTGGGCTCTTACGGTCCTGCCAACCAATCACACTGTGAGAGGAAGACAGAGTCATGGACAATTCAAGGGATAACCTCTATGAGTTGAGGGATCACAGTGCCTGTCACCAGACTCTCTATCAATGAGTGAATGGACAGGAACTACCCTACTATGTTACACTGAGAGGGAAATGCTGATTAAATTTCAAAGTATTTCATATATACATTTCTGGGGTGGGGGGGGAAATACAGCCAGTTGTTAAATATTTACCAGCACACCTTGGGCAGGTCCCCATATATTTCTTTTTGTTGTGGAAATCTGCAAAGCTAACCAAAGGCCAAGCATGTCCTCTTTTTAGTCCCTCAACCAAATGTGATGTCCCAAAGAGTAAATCTTGAAGTGAAAAATGAAGACAAGAACTCAGAAACAGAGCTCCCTCACGTGTGAATCACAGAGACCCAGTCTGTCCTGCTTGGAGCTGCTGGAGGGAACACAGCGTTTCTGTGGTACCAAGCTGGAGGCTGGGAGGGGCTGACCACCCTACTTCCCTTAATAAAACTCAACACAAAACTAGCTTATTATCCAGGCCCTGTAAATTAGGCTTTCAGCACCTCCTCCCCCTCCAAACAGGGCATGAAGAGGGGAAGGAGGAAAAGGAGAGAAGAGGATTCAACTCACACAGTAAATTAACTTGTGCTCTAGGAAGGACGGACTGGTCTGAAGCTGTGGCCCTCCCACCTATAAATATCTTCAGCAAGAAGAATAGGTTCAATAGGATCTAAAGCCAGAAGGACCTTAAAGATTCTGTAGGTTAACTCTATCATTTTAGAGAAGTGAGGCAATTTCATTGCACAGCCAAAATTCAACCTCAACCCCCGTCTCCAAATCTAGTCCTCTTTCTACTATGACCAAGCATGTGTTGGAGCCAACTTGACCTGGCTCAAAAGAGTCAATTATTAAATTTTCAGTGTGGGCATTTACAACTTGGAAATCAACAAATGCCATAAAACAACACTCAATTTGTTTTTTTGTTGATAAGAAAATGATGAGGGAAATGTTAACAATGCATTTTGTTATTATTCAATCATGTCCCACTCTTTGTGACCCCATTTGGGGTTTTCTTGGCAAAGAAACTGGAGTGACTTGCCATTTACTTCTCCAGCTTATTTTACAGATGAGGAAACTGAGGCAAACAGAGTTAAGTGACTTGTCCAGGGTCACCCAGCTAGTAAGTGTCTGAGGCCGGATTTGAGTTTAGATGAGTTTTCCTGACTTCAGCCTAGCACTCTATCCACTTCACCACCTAGTTGCCCCTAATAATGGATATTAAACCTGAAAGTTGTGTACTTATGTACATTATGCCATGGTTACATTTTTTGAAAGCTCTTTGTTAAACATTACCGGTGCACCATTGACGATGTATTTCACCATTAATAGTGAAGCAAGTAAAACTCTGTGGCTGCTGAAGTCTGTCTGTCTCCAGATGCCCCTTTCTGTGCCCTTTTCTTTCCTCCTTGGCACCCCTTTCTATAACCTTCAGCTAACCCGTGCCCTTTAGTAGTCTTCTTATCCATCAGCCTGATCCATCAAAACCTGTTCTGATAGCTATCATTTTCTTTATTTATGGAACACACTAGTGGGGGTGCAGAAGGTAGCAGAGGAGGAGACCTGTGATTTCACTGGTATGAGGAAACTCCCTCTAGCAATGCCAGGAAGCAACTGAAATTCTGCTTGTAATTCTGAGAGTTTCCTGGTGGCAATGATAAGTTGAGTAACTTATACCAATTAATATAGCCAGGCCAAATTTGAACCCAGGTCTTCCTGACTGAGTCTAATTCTCTAACCACTATGCAATGCTGCCTTTTTTTTTAAAAGCACTTATAATATTTTCACATTTCATCTGATCCTTTAAAATGACCCTCTGAGATAGTATGGGCACTTTATAGATGAGGAAACTGAGGTTCTCAAAGAGGCTGGGCAAAGGTACCAGCATCAGAGTTGGGACTTGAAGCCCTCATTGAAGGTCAGGGCTCTTTCCACTTTCTACCAGGACTAGATGATGTCTAAGGGCCCTTCTGATTCTGAGTCCATATTTCAAATTATATGATTCTATGGTTTATACATCATTATGAATTGAAATGAATAATTATCTGCCACAAGTATCACAGAGTTAGAGTTAGAAGCAACTGATGAGACCCTTAAGTCAAGTGTCCTTTTACAAATGAGGCCACTGAGGCAGAGAGAAATTAAGTGACTTGCTCAGCTAAGAAATGTCTGAGGTAGAATTTAACCCAGGCCTTATTATTTCAAGTCCAGGGCTCTATCCATGATGATACACTATGGGTATTTGTATGTTAAACTTTTTAATCTCTAGGTGTGGTCTGAAAGAATTTATTTTTCATTAATGGAATTTCAGTATCAAGAGTGGACGAGGTAAGTAGGTCCCCTACTCCCCCTTAAGTGGAAGGCTCACCTTATCAAGGAGGGTTATTTGTTCCACAAACCTCTTCTGTGTCTGAGTCTTTTTGGCAACAGACAGACTCTCTATAAAATTTAAGGGTTCTCTCTGAGAAGAGAGACCCCATTCATTGTAGTCTTTTGACCTAACCAAACTTGATAAACACCCATTTGCAAAGCAATGAACATTTTTGTGATCCCAGTATAGATACCTGGTTTCTCCTCACACCCACCATTTCATAAACCCCAGAAAATAAATACCCCCTTACTTTTGCGGGGTCAAGGTCTCCTCCAAGAACTCTTCAATCTTGTTGACGTCTGTCTTAACATCCCCATTGAATGTCAGAAATGGTGGATGGGTCCCAGGGGCCAGGTTGTGCAGATCAGCTGGCTTTCTACAAAGAAAGTGAGAAGTAGGTGTTGGTTCATACTATTCTACTTACTCTTCCAGGAAAATGTCAAACTCTAAAATAGAGATCAGCTTCCCTGACTGTCAAGCATGTTGGGTGAATTCCCCATGTCAAACTTTTGGGAGGATGTGGACAAGAGTCACACAGGATTAGCAGGCATGGATAAGTTGGGATCTGTATCAATGGAGGGACCTCCTGAATCAATGAAATTCCAAATCCATTTGAATCTAATACCCTACTCTCCCTTTGAAAAGGCAAATTTGACCCTTCAGTAAAGGTCAATTTTATGTGAAAAAGGAGAAAGAAAAGTAAAAAAAGAACAAGAGGAGGCTTAATATCATAAGAAAGAAGGCAACATGGTATATAGAGGGCAATGGATAGGGTTGAGAGATAGGAAACTTGGATTCTAGTCAGTGGTCAGCTACCAACTAACTACTTCTGTTACCCTGAGGAAATTAGTTTTCCTCTCTGAACTTCAATAAAAATCAATAAAATAAAAAATAATTCCTAAGTTCTCTTTCAGTCTTAACACACTCTTCCATAGCCTATATCCTGAATGTTAGGGACAGACAGATAGGATAGGAAGCCCATATATTGAGTCCTACCTGAACAAAATGGGCAAGGGCAATCTATGAATAGGTGATTAGCTATAATCTTACCTTAGTTACACCAACAGCTTATATATTACCATATTATGGGTTTATATATACATATATATATATATATATATATATATATATAAAACCACATATACCTTCTTTTGCTCTTAACAAGTTCTTTTGGAAATTAGCATGGTTTAACAGCACTGCTATCATTTGCTTAACAAAAATACATTTTACAGGACTCTGAACATAAGAAATAGATGAATTGTGCAAGAAATGCATCCCCAAAGAGTAGTGTCTTTCAGACAGAGAAAATTTAAGATCCTTTGCTGCCATTTTGTCCAAGATGAAGTGTTCCTACTATACAGCTAAACTCGGGTTACTTCTGGTCTCACAATGATAAGGTCCTTTCCAAACTCAACAACTACTACTGTGATATGTTAACAATCCCTAATGAGAATACCAGGCATTGGACACCATTAGATTGAGGGGAAAAAAATAGATAGACAGAGGCATACTAGACATTAGTTCATAGACCACATGTCCCAGCAGACATTGAGGCAAACATCCATTAATAAGCAAAGACAGGACATTTCAATCCTTAGTTTCACATGCTATTATCTTTTCCCAGCCAGGGATCATATATTCAACTCACTTGGTGCTACTGGGTAAAGAGGTCTAAAAATGGCACAGTAAGTTAACAAAGTCATTTCTTTGGGGTTGTTAAAAGTTGTTTGAGGAGTAGGTGAAGGTAAATATGTAATGATACTACAACTTCAAATAAATAATATCTAAAGCAAATAATCATACTGTAAGAGTACATGATGTTATATAGTAATTTCATTTTTATTTTGTGACATACAGGACCATAGGATTTGTTGTTTTTCATCCTTTGTTCTCAAAGATGACTCATAACATCATGAAGGCAATGTCTTGACTTGTGAATAAACTGGATGTAAATGGGGCAGAACTGCACAAAGTCCTCAGCCTCATTCTCTCCTCCAGAGTCATCAGAGTCCAGTGGTAAGACAAAGGTCAAGAAGCACTATATAAATGCTAGTTAGTATTATAGTTATGGATATAGATGAGCTTTCATCGCAAAGAAAAGGCATTAACATCAGTTTTGCTGCTGCAAAACTGGTCCATAAGGACCATGGGACTTTTCAGACCAGCTGAAAATTTCCCTATGTGTCATCTCCCCCATTAGAATGAACTTCTTAGAGCAAGAATTGCCTTACTTTTCTATTTGTACCCCTAATGCTTAGCATGGTGCTTTGTACATAGTAAGCACTTAATAAATGCTTTATTCATTCATGTATTTCACATCAATTAAACAGAAGAAAGCAAGAAAGAAATTCTTCTATTGACTTAAACGCAAAGTACTTTTAATTTGGGGCAGCAAGGTGGTGCAGTGGATAGAGCACTCAGACTGGAGTTAGGAAGACCTGAGTCCAAATTCGACCTCAGACTTTTCTTAGCTGTGTTATCCTCTTAATCCCATTTGCCTCAGTTTCCTCATCTGTAAAATGAGCAGGAGAAGAAAAAGGCAAACCATTCCAGTATCTTTGCCAAAAAAAAAAAAACCAAACCCATTTGGGGTCACAAAGAGTCAGATACTACAGAAACAGCCAAACAGCAACAAAAACAACAACTTTTAATTTATAGCAAATATCAATATGACTTTATTAACTACCTGTATACCATGATTAGTTATGAAAGGCATGGTCAGTATAAAAAAAAAAGACCTGTGATAGGTGGGGGGAGTTCATTGGCAATAAATGAGCACAATCGGCCTGGGCAGGGTACAAGATGAAAAAGAAAGGAAGAAAAAGTATTAAACAAAGGAAAAATATTCCCCTAAGGCAGGAGTTCTTAATATGGGGACCAGGAAATTGTTTTAAAAATAGTTTGAGAACTGTTCTGCAATAGAATTAGGGTTTTTTTTAACAATCCAATATATTTCATTTTCTGAATTTAAAAACGTTATTCTGAGGAGTTCATAGGCTTCGCTAGAAGGATGCCAAAGGATCCATGACATTAAAAAAAGGCTGAGAATCCCTGCCCTAGAGGTTAGAAAGGAGGGGAAATTCAACATGAAGGATAGTCAGGTCAGAGTTCCTCTCTAAATATACTCTCTGAAAAAGGGCTCTTTCTAGGGACCTTGGCAATGGTGGTAGTGGAAGGATTGTAAAAATAAGAAGGGAGTACTGGCACTGAGATCAACCTGAAGCCATTTAAAATTCTAGAGAAATCAATTTAGGGGTTGGGGGGGGTGTGTTGGGAACAGGGGAGGAGGCAAGGAAGAATTTCAATTATTACATTGCTGTTCCCATACCATTCCTAAAACATACACACACTTACCAGCTGTGCTTTGTGGCACGCCTTCCGAAAGCATTTTAAAAATCTCATTTACTTAGTTTCTTTGTTTATTCTGTATGTGTTCCTCACTTCAGACAAATAAAAGGACCTGTTTAGTTTCACCTCCTTTTTCTGAGAGCTAACAATTTTAAGTCTGCAATTCTTGGGTTCCCAGCAACCAAGATGAAACACTGATTGTATTTTTCAATAATTAGTACTTGCTGCCTTGAAAGCCAAGAGATTGGGATTTTATAAGATGACTATAGAGAAGTTGTTGTTGTGTTGTTTTCAGTTGTGCCCAACTCTTCATGATTCCATTTGGGATTTTCTTGGCAGAGATAGACTTGTAGGGATTCTTTACTTTTTTTGTATATGTGTCATGGTGGACGTCTGGTGAAGCCAGGGACCCTTTTCAGAAGAATATTTTTAAATGTACAAAATAAAATGCCTAAGATTACAAAGGAAATTATATTAAATTACAAATTTAAATTTAAATAAAAATAAATAATTTGATTAAATTAAATAAAATTTTATTTGAATAAGAATTTAAATAAATTATACTTATAATTAAACATTATAAATTTAAATTAAATAAGTTTAATTAAAATTAATAGAATATTAAAATATTTTAAAGTTATTAAAATATTGAAGAAAAAAAGCTCAAAGATCCCACCCTTCTGTTAGAGAGCTGCTTGAGGTATGGAGAAGTTACTTGCTCAAACAGCTGTTAAGTATCAGAGATGGGATTTGTACCCAAGTCTTTTGGGTTCCAAGATCAGCACTCAATCACTGCTTCTCATTACGCAATTCGATGCTCACTTATGCACTGTTGTTATATATCATTTACTAATTGTTTCATACATATCAGTTCTATCTTCATAGCTAGATTTTCTTTTTGTTTCTTCTGTATCTCCTATGTTGTTGTTGTTCAGTTGTTTCAGTTGTGTCTGACTCTTCATGTCCCCATTTGGGGTTTTCTTGGTGAAGATACTAGAAGCTGTTTGCCACTTCCTTCTCCAGTTCGTTTTTTATATGAGGAAACTGAGGCAAACAGAGTTAAGTGACTTGCCCAGGGTCACATGACTAGGAAGTGTCCGAGGCCAGATTTGAACTCAGGAAGAAGAGTCTTCCTGACTCCAGGCCCTGCACTTTATCCACTTCACCACCTAGGTGCCCTGGGACTAGAGAAGGAAATGGCAAACCACTCAGTATCTCTGCCAAGAAAACCCTGATTAGGGTCACAAAGAGAGCCTTCAATTTGGTGCGAAAGTAGGGAATAACAGATATAAGCAAGTATGGTGGTCTACAGTGGTCTACATGGTCAGTCAAATCAAGTCAACCAGCTTCTGTTGACAATGTGCCAGTCTAAGCTCTGGTAATTGTGGAAGGGTGGTGGTGGGTGTGTGTGTGTGTGTGTGTGTGTGCGCGCGCACTTGTGCATGCATGCACACTTGCACACATGGGCATGCAAAGGATGAGACTTGTGTCTTGGATTGTTAACCCACACACACAAAGAGCAAGAATACAGAGTACGCAAGGATGAGAGTTTCAAGGGTTAGTCTGTCTAAACATGGCATATCTGAATTATGAGCCCAAGCTGAGATCATCTCTAGGCTCCTGTTTATGAAGGAGAGTCAGAAGGTATAGAGTGAAGAGTAGTTAGGTTTAAACAAAATTGAGCTTTATGTGATTGTGGAATATCCAAATGAAAAATTCACTAAACAGATGGAAATTTACAGTTAGGGATCAGGAAGGTGGTCAAGACATTGTGCAGTTAAAATGATCAGATTTGTCTCCAAAGCTAAGATGAGAAAATTCTCCTCTCTCCCTTCATTGGAAAGGTGGGAGACCATGGATGTGAAATCCTATCTCTATCTATATATCTATATCTATATCTATCAGCCTCAGTTGATATTTGCTAGTTCTGCTGAATTTTTTTTTAAAGGGATAACCTGCTGACTAGGGAAAGCAGAAGGGATAAATTTGGAAATCAAGGTATTGGAAATCAAGATATATTCAACACTATATGTATAAATATATATATACATGTATATAAATGTATGTATACATGTAGATATGTGTGCAACTGTAACATATACATGTAGACATATACATATGTACACATATATTTCACACATGCACATCTATATATACACATATACATACCTACAATGCACGTATATAGACATAACTTTATCTATACATACCTATATATACATACTTATACATACCTATACCTACATATGCATGTGTATACATACACACACACACACACACACACACATATACATGTATATGAATGAAAGTAGGGATGTTTAGACTGAAAGCAAAAAAAGATAAAAAGACCCTAGAAGAATGGATGAGTTCACTGAGAAAGAAAGTGTGGAAGAAAGATAGAGAGCTAAGGACTGAGCCTTGATTCATGACCTCACTTCCATCCTCAAGTTAAGAAGGCGAGTTAGAAAAGGGACAAAGGATTGGTCTATAGAAACAGCTCAACTTTCCTCAAATCTGGTCTCCTATTAGAAGGTGCCTGACTGTCTTATAACCAGTCATCAAAATGTATTTTTAAAATGACAGCAGTCACATCAGAGAGAAATAAGGGGGACCAACATTTTTTTTTCTAAAAGCTAATAACCTGTAGGGAATTCCAAAGACATGAAAAAACAGCACGGTTCTCATAGCCCTGGAAATTCAAACACTCCAAACTACAGCGCTCCTTGAGATGTCCCAGGCTAAGGGCATCCCCACTCTCCGAAGCTGCTCTAGATATTGATGCATATTTCTGTTACCTTTTCAGGTCCACAGTGGTGACATTGAACACAACCCCTTTCAACCACAGGATCATGAAGAGACGCTGAGAGAACGGGCAGTTCCCAATGCTTTCGCCATCTGATCCAGCCTAGGAGAAAAGAAACCCAAAGCATTTCAATTCATTTCAATCCAATGAACATTAATTAAGAAGTGCAGGCAGTCTTTTAGGTGCTGGGAATACAAAGACAAAAACAAAACCTTCCTTGTCCTCAAGAAACTAATAATCTATTGAGGGGTAGCAGGGAATAATATGTACATAAGGAAATAAATGCACAAAAATATATACAAAAGGAAAATATGTATAAATACATATATATGTACATACACACACACACACACACACACACAAAGGAATTTCAGGACAGAGAGAGAACTAACAACAGGCATGTCTCCCAAAGGAGATGGCAGTTAAAATGAAAATTGTGAGACATCCAAGAAGCTAAGGAGAGGAAGGAGAATAGTCTAGGCATGAGGGGATCATCTGGACTAATTATGGAGGCAGGAGAACATCCTGTATGGGAGAACTGCAAGGTTGCCAGATAGACTTTAAACTGGACCCTAAAGAATACTATTTATGTTTTGATAGGCAGAAAGGACCATAAACTGGAACCTAAAAGATACTATTTGTGTTTAGATAGGCAGAAAGGCAGATGGAAATATAGGCACTGAAACAGGAAAACCTGAGCAATTGAACAAAAGCTAGATCATAGTGTGCGTCAGGAACAGTAAACAAACAGGAACAACTGAAGAAAACCATTCTGATTGAGGAATGTAACCTCTTGCTCTCTCCTTAAATAAGAAATAATACTGAGTAGCTCCTTGTGTGCAGTAGACAGCATTGTCTTTTATATCTTACTTCAATTATTAGACTGGTAAGACTGAGGCATTTCAGGAAAAGAAACAATGAGACAATGTTTATATACCATTAAAGAAAATCAACCTTTTGATGGTAAGAAGGTTAGCTAATGATAATGAATTATTTAGCCACACCACAATGATATGTACCAGCAATACTAGCTAGTACTTATATAAGCCAGTCGTTTTATATCTGTTACCTCATTTGGTCTTCACAATCCTGGAAGATAGATGCTACGGTTATTCCCATTATACAGATAACAAAACTGAAGCTAAGGGAGGTTAAATGCCTAGTTACACATCTAGTAAGTATCTGTGGCATAATTTGAACTCAGGTCTTCTTGACCTGAGGTTGAGCACTGAAGTCACTGCGCCACCAACCAAGATAAGTAAAAAATGGCCTTCAAACCTGTGTGGTTTCCACTTCTAATACCACAGTGACAGTGAAAGCATGTTGGCTGTTCAGTCCACATTGGCAAGATGGAAAACTGTATTTCAAAACCATATGACTAAAGAACACTCTGTGGGCCCAGGTCCTAAGCTAGTCTAACTGCATGACGTTGGAAAGAAATGAGGAGATCTTAAGTCTAATACCTTTACGAGATGACCTTCATCATTTACTATGGCATCCAGCACACATTAGATACTTCTCACCTCTCCAGATCATTACACCTTACTCTGAGAACACCCTCCTACAATACATTTTTGGTTTCTCCAGCTCCCTATTTAGCTCATCCAATAGACTTGTCGTCTAAATTATGTATTAACCCACACACACAGCATTAAAGTTTAAAGATCACAGAGCTAGAGCTCTAGCTATAAGGGACAGTAGGGGTCGTTGAGTACAGCCCCTTCATTTTACAGATGAGGAAACTGAGGCTGACAGAAGTTAACTGACTTGTCCAGGGTGATATAGCTAGTTAGCTATCAGAGGCAGAATTTGAACCCATGACATTTTGATTATAACTCCAGTTGCATTAGAACTTTTGATATGTGACCTTTAAAAAAAAAAGCTATACAGATCCTTTAGGAGCATTTAACTCATGTATTGATAGAAGAGACTATGATAAATGCTTAGGTAAAGAGTTTTATATGAGATGTGAGAAACAAGATAATTTCCAATGTGAAGAAGACTTTGTCAAAGAAGTAGCATTTCAGCTGGGTCTTAAAAGATGGGACAGATGTATGATTGATTCATCTTAATCAAAAATCCACACTGGCCCCTAACAACTTCGTAATGTAAAATCAGTATGTTAATATTTAGGGCAGCTAAGTATCACAGTAGATAGAATGATGAGCCTTGAGTCAGGAAGTTCTGAGTTCAAATCCAGCCTCAGACATTTACTAGCTTTGTGACCCTGGAAAAGTTATTTAATTTCTAACTGCCTCAGTTTCCACATCTGTAAAATGAGGATAATAATAATAGCACCTACTTCCCAGGGGTGTGGGGATAAAATGAGGTAATATTTGTAAAATGCTTTGCAAACCTTAAAGTTCTACATAAATGCTAACTATTATGATTAGCAGTAGTATTGGAGGTTTTCTTCAGTGAGACTTGACTATGAAACATTGAGATATGGAGACACTGCTCTTGCCATGTGGCTTCTGTTGGTAACATCTTGTCAAAACTAGGATAGTCCTCACATTAAGAGGTCCTGTAATGGTCAAGAGAGATTTTCATTGTAATCAGGCTTAAAAAGCTCATGGAAAGACAGCAGAATAATCCCAACTTTTACTCAAAGGCTAAAGAAATGTAGGTGTATTTACTAATGCAGAAGATGTCTGATCTGGGTGTAAAAATAAAAAAAAATTCTTTTTTTTCCAAAAAGAAACAGAAAAAATAATCTAAGCAAGATAAAAGGAAACAAAGAAATGTATGGACAGAGAAGGATCTGGGACTGCACTGGTATGCACTTAACTTTAAAGATATGGAGAAAGAAGGCACCCAGTACGTTGGCTGGCTAGGCACCAAGGCTACAAAGACAAGTGGAAAAAATAGCCCCTGCCTTCAAGGAGCTTACACTCATTCTCCCTCTCGCTCTCACTATTACATGGATGTTGTCCTTCAGTCATTTTCAGTCATGTCCAACTCTTCATAGTTTGCCATTTCCTTCTTCAGCTCATTTTACAGATGAGGAACTGAGGCAAACAGGATTAAATGACTTGCCCATGGTCACAAAGCTAGTGAGTGTTTGAGGCCAGATTTGAAACCAGGTCTTCCTGACTCCAGTTCTGGCTCTCTATCCACCGAACCATCTAGCTGCCCTAGAGATAGACAGAGATAGAATCACTTGGCCACACCACAATGATATACAACACCAATATGAACTCGTACTTGGTCCAGCTCTTTAAGGTTTGCAAATCGTATGTATATACACACAAAGAGAGAAACAGGGGCAGACAGAGACAGGCAGAGACAGAGAGAAGGGGAAAGGAGGAGGGGGAGGGAAGGAGAGAAAGATATCAGGGATTTATTTATAAGAGGAAATAGTCAAGAGTTGCCCAGGATGAGAACTGGATGGGATGCACAGTTGGAGGGAGTGTACCCAAATTATATGGTCATTTTTCTCCTAACAATTAAATACTCACCTAGGTTTAAGAGTTACTATGGAAAACTCAGACCTGTTCCAGGGTTGGACAGAAGTAATGGCTGTGAAATTACAGGCATTATAACTCAGCCCTAACCAAACCAAGCAACCCCATCACTTCTTCCTTTCTCACTTTGTTCAAGTGTTGGAAACAGACCTGCCCCTGAGTAGTTAAGTGTGCATGGGCTCTATTATATGTGTGAGGACAAAATGATTGGGCATTATATGTCACCTACAGAGCTGTAATTACTGACATTTCCTCATTCTGCAGACCTTGCTCAAGCCAGACCACTGTTAATTTTAATAACACCTTGGCCCATGGAATAGCTGCTAACTTAAAAGTGAGTTCATCATGTGTTTTCACAAAGATCACTGCAAAAAGCCATGGCCAGATTGGAGGGAGGGAAGAAGTGCTGTGCTGACATAGTGCCTCGCACATAGACGATAATTAATAAATGCTTATGTGCCAGGCACTGTGTTAAATTCTTTACAAATATTATCCCATTTCATCCTCACATAATCCTGGGACGTACATGATAGTACTGTCCTCATTTTACAGATGAGGAAACTGAAACAGACAGCAGTTAAGTGACTTGCCCTGAAGGTCACACAGCTAGTAAGTATGTGAGGCTAGATTTGAACTCAGGTCTTCCTGATTTCAGGCCCAGTTCTCTATCCACTGAGCCCGTCTAATTTCCTCCCTTAGTCATTTAAAGCCATTTTAAACACCAGCTTCTTCATGAAGCCTTTCTGCATAGGCCTCCCAGCTGTTAGTGCTTCCTCTTAGCCCAAAGTACTTTTTATTCACTCAGTATTTATGTTGTGTTTCCTTACATGTTGCTTCCTCCAAGAGGATTTTCCAGCAGGCAGAGTCTCTATCTTTTTTTAAATCTATTATGTTTCTGGCATTAGTAGGTACTTATTGAATGCCAGTTGGTGGATAGATTGACTGATTTAAAACAGTTTGACAAAACTCTTACCCAGTGTTAGGGACAATTTAATTTCAGTGAATTTTGAACCCTTTTTTCTGTTTTAAATTTATTTTGTTAGTGGGTTTCTTTTAGTGGAGGGAAGAGACTGGTAGAAAAAAAGGAAATTATTGAAAATTCAAAGTTGGAAGGGAGCCTTAGGTTTTGTCTAGTCCAAGACTTAAATTTTACAGATGAGGAAACTGAGGATCACTAAGAGGCAAATTAATGTGTGTAAGGGCAAAAGTACTGTTAGTCAGAACTAGAACCCAGGATTTCTGACCCTCCAGTCCAAAGCTTCCTTCATTGTCTTGTTTCCAAAACCTTTCATTCTTCCACTCTATTTCACCCTCATCTCCTCCAGCATTGTGGCTCTGGCATTCCTAGTACAAGAGGCAACCTGGTATAATAGATACAGGGCTGGCATTAATGGTCAGAAAGATCTGAGTTCAGGTCCTGGGTGACACAGTGGCGAGAGATCTAGGCTTTGAGTCAGGAAGACTCAAGTTCAAATCCTACCTCAGACACTGATTGACTGTGTGACTCTGGGCAAGTCCCTTAAATATCTCTTAGCTTTGGTATCCTTATTTGTAAAAATAGAGATAGTAATAGTACCTATGTCGCAGGGTTGTTGTGAGGATCAAATGAGATAACATGTAAAGCACTTTGCTAACCTT